CAGTTTAGTTCTGTGGGAACTGGTGGGAACGTAATTTTTAGGAGACAGGGTTGCGATAATACATTCTGACAAAAAATACAAATTATTATGAATAGAAATAAAATAAAAGAAGCCTCCCGTGAGTTACTACAAGCTATGAAGTAGATTTTAAAAACGTCTTATAGAAAAAAGCTCACTGCAGGACGTTGTAGAAATGCGTGTGTGCACCACGACAAAGGAGCCTCATTCAATTTACATTGGGGTTATTTGCGTGGTGCAGACACGTAAATGTAGCAAAGTTTGTGACTCCACCACGAAATGCGGTGTTAAGGAGTTCTGGTGGAGTCACGCATTTTGGTGAGATCAGGTTGTTCTGTGATCGGTCCAACAGGTGCAGAACACCTGGCGTCACCCCACTGTGTCAGCAGAACACCAGTCCTGTTAGTCTCGGTTTATGGCAGGTTTTGCTATGTAGTCTAAGTGCTATCCTAGAGACAACCAACAGACGAGTCATTGTTTGTAACCTTAGTTACTGCTACAGCATGCTCAGTAACCAAGGTTACATAGATGCAAAAGAGAAATAATAAAAGTCTTAAAACTAATATATTCTTCTAAAATATGGATGGGTTTTCATTTTGGCCCCATGCATTTAGTTGTAAATTGAGGAGGTATTTTGAAGCACATGATACAGACTCAGTCTGAGCCGGACCCTTGGCCCGGTGTGGTGCTGTTGTTAGACACATGAAGGTTTTACATTAAATAATATGATGAGCTTATTCAATATTTCCCATGAGTTCAGACTGTCACATTCTGAACCGGTGTTACCAACTGTTTTACTTTTTGTGAGCGAGTTCTTTAAGTAACATATTTTGGCCTAACACGTTGATAACACATGATAGTAAAACACAATGCATGCAATAACATGTGTAAACATGTCCACGGTTGTACAGTGTGTATGATTTAAAGAGACAAAAATAAGACACGACTGCTAATAAACTGTATATGACCACATCTTCCACTAAGTCTCAGATTCTCAGTTTGGGGTTGATGAAGTTCTCCTAACTCTCCAAGTAAATCCACCTTCAGGGGGTCCACCAGCTTGCACCTGTCTGCATGTCCTTTTTCTATGATGACTGGGGTTTAATGAATGATGACTTTTTTTATTCATCCCTTTTCCAAATAAAACACAATAAATTGATTTCTAGAATTGTAACAGACAATTACATCATCATAAACTTAGAATTCTTGAAGGGAAACATTTTGGGATTGTATTGCACACACAAACACACACAAATATACAAGCACACACATTTATTTTTGTCCTGATTCACTTTCACCTGTGTATTCATCACACGTTTACTCTAAAGCACAAGCTTTTTCCGTACGGAATGTCAACTTACTTACACTGCTCCAGGTTGTGGCCCCTCTGCTGTTCAACAGTAAGAACCACACTGAGTGGCCCCAGGTGGTGTCTCAGGACGTCAGGCGCCACGTCCACTCCCTCAGGACTCATGCGCTGGTGGTGTCAGGCCAAGTCCACGGCAGGACGCTGCTGCCTCTGCCTGCAGGCTGCCAGAACGTGGAGCAAGCTGACCTTGAGACGGACAAACGGTAAACCAACAATCATGTCGAAGGGACATTTTCCTAACTCCAAAGTAAACATCTCCCTTGTGACTCTTGCCAGGGGCGAGATGGTGAATAATACCATCATCCACTCCCTGGAGTCAGCAGTGATTGAGTGGAGCCATCAGATCCACGCGGTCCTGAAGAAAGACTCCTCTGACGCCCTGCTGGAGGGCCAAACGCCCACACCTCACTCAGAGCTGCTCTTCTGGAGGGACAGGTGTGCTCCTCTCTTATTACACACTGAATATCCGCTAAAAGTGTTTGTTCCTTTGCTGTGAGTGTGTGGCCCTGACAGAGGATCTCCAGCTGGTGCTTCTTATTGTTTTAGATCCAGAACACCTGTGCATTCGAGGGAAACTGGAAAATGTTTACTTTCCAATTTTGTTTCCCTCTGCACAAAATGTGTTCTCAATCTGTCTACAACATATGCACTTATGTTCTGCATCACAGACTTATGTTCTGTAAGCATCAGTAGGAGGTGAAGTAGGAGGCCCCTAGCTGACAGTCATGTATCAGGGCTCAGTTGCTGTGAGGAGGACCCAAGTTTGAATCCGGTTTGGAACCATTAGGTCCATCAAAAATATTTTCAAGTAACAAGTGGTTACCACAAGACAATAATACCCGGAATATCAAATATATACTTCACCTTAAAGATGCTGCATGTGTTTCTGACCAAATCTTTCAGATCAGTTTATTATTTTCTAAAAACAGAAAATCTGCAATATGTAAACAACACTTGTGACATCCTGTGGCCATATCTTATTTACTGATGACAACTTTACTGATACCTTGTTGTTCTCCATTTGCTTTCTCCATGAAGATATGCAGACCTGGAGTGCATCCACTCCCAGTTAAATTCCTCCAAGGTGAATAAGATGGCGCTGCTGTTGGAGGCTGTGGAGAGCAGCTATGCTCCTGCTTTCACCAGCCTGCAGCAGGGGGTCCTGACAGGTAGGACACTATCTACAGTATACACCTGCAGCATACAGAACTGAAATGAGATAAAGCACAAACTGGTGGGCGTGGTTTTTGATGATGCAATATTCTTGACTTCTTGACTCAATCACATGTTGCCTCACCAGCTTTGGAGGAGGCAGAGGACGTGCACTTCTACCTGAGGCCCCTGCAGCCACTCATCGAGGACATGGAGAGTGCTGAGTTTCCTGATGTGAGGGGTCAGATTGGTCCTTTGATGCACACTGTATGCCTGGTGTGGGCCAACTCCAGATACTACAACACTCCCCCACGCCTCATCGTTCTGCTGCAGGAGACCTCCAACCTCCTGATTCAGCAGGCCAGTCTTTTCCCTTGTGTCTTTAGTGGTAACAACTGTTTCTGAGATGACCTGTCGGCACAGAGTTGGTGTGTGTGGTGGGTCTGTTGTTTTATTAATTTTCTTTGTGTATAGATCAGGCATAACAAAATGTAACATGTTGTTGTGTGAGCTTTAACATATGTTTGTTTTGCTAAACTAAGCTTAGCTTGAGTGAGGGTACCATGTACAGATGTAGCGATTCATTTCAGACAGTTTGAAACGCGAGGGCCGTGATTGGTACGTGATCTGCCCTCGCTCAAGGGAAAACCTCCAGCTTGACTTGAGACCGCCCCCGTGATAGATAAATGTAATTATAATGAAGCCAGCTGCAATGGATCATTGATCCACCAGGGGGTGCAGTGGGGTTCCACACTGGAGCTCATGTGAAATAAAGTCAGATACAGTACGCCGGATGTACAGCGGAACTTTGTTAAGATCCATATGTCACGGATATCATACTCTGTGCTAAATAAGAGACATGTAATAATTTACAAAACATCACCATGTTGTTATTTAACAAAATAATGTTGTTTAGTCGAAAAAAACGAACGGGAGGAAATGCAGCCCGGCTCTCGATTTTTAATCCTAATTTAATCATCATCTTCACCACGATCATTTATGTTTATGTTCACCAAATTGACATGAAATCACTAACAAATATGAATATACTGTATTCAACTTCATTAAAACGTTATTAACGTGCCTAAACTCAGTAATTATACGATCATGTTCTGATAATGATGACGCAATAGCCCCGCCTCTCCCCACCTCTGCTGCTCACCCCCGCGTCAAAGT